AATCATCGTACCTGATCGGGGAGTGAGGTCCTCTACTTATGGGTGGTAGTCCCGCTAATCTCGCGACGGTTACATTCGGTAATCTCGGGACCGTCGGTTACACCTGGTAATCTCGGGACCGACGGTTATGCCCGATAATCACGCCGCAGACTATAATTGAAAGAGATTTTCAAGTTTATAATGATGTTGATATTACTAGTATGTCTTCTGCATTTCATCTGAATGAGAAGGATATATTTGCAAATAAGGAGGTTTTGTCAAAAGCTTTTCACTTTATGGCTATAAAGAATAGCTTTCAGTTCAAGACTTTGAGATCAAATTTCAAATCAGTTGAGTTTGAATGTGTTCAGAATGGCTGCCAATGGTATGTTAGAGCATCTCGTTATAGAGGTAGTGAACTATAGATGATTATAAAGTATGTTAGTGATCATAATTGTCGTATGACGATAGTTCAATCTTTTCATAGACAAGCTTCATCATCTTTTGTTGGTGAATTTATGGTTGAGAAATTTAGATTTAGTTCTTCAGATCGTTCGACTCCGAAAAATATCATTCATCACATGCGCACAAACTATGGAGTTGGTGTTAGTTATTATAAAGCTTGGAGGGCAAAAACAGCTGTTAATAAATTGTTGACATGAGATGCTGATGATTCTTATGCATTGATTCCGAAGTTTTTTGTGAAGTTGAAAGAAATGAATCCAGGTTTGTTTTCTTTAATGATATACCAATAATATATGCTTCTGGTATATGTGTAATATGTATGGGATGATATATCTTCTTGATTTTATTATGATGTAGGTGTTCTGATATACTGTTGATATACTACTGATATATATTTGATTGTACTACTGATTATCATATCTGATTTTGATATCTTGACATGTTGCTGTGATATATTACGGATATATTTGACGTGTTGATGTGATATATTATTGATATATTTGACGTGTAATGATATACTACGCTGATGCAATAGTTTTATTTATATTATTTTTGTAGGTACATACACTACATATGAAATTGATAAGACTAGACATTTTAAGTATTGTTTCATGGATCTAGGTGCATCTATTGAAGGTTGGAGGAGACCTAATATATCTGTTGATGGAACATTTTTGACGAGCAAATATGGTGGTACACTATTGACTGCCTCAACGTGCGATGGTAACAATCAGATTTTCCCTCTTGCTTTTGGTATAGCAGATTCAGAAAATGACGCATTTTGTAGATGATTTTTTCAAAATTTAAAGAACAGTTTTGGAGATCGAGGAGGGTTAGTTATCATTTCTGATCGTCATTTAAGCATTGGAAAAAATGTTCTAAAGGTTTTTCCATATGCTCAATATTGTGTTTGTAAGCAACATCTGTTGAAGAATTTGAAGTTGTCATACAAGGACTCCTTGATTGATAGACTTTTTGAAAACTGTGCCAAATCCTACACAACTAATGATATTGAGTTAAATATGAGGTTGATGAAGTCAATATATCCTACTATACAAGAATATCTTAGTAATGTTGGATTTGATAAATGGGCTCGTGCACACACTAACGAAAGAAGATATCAAATGTTGACAACTAATATTTCTGACAGCCTAAATGCAACTTTGAAAGAGTCAAGAGATTTACCTGTTGCAGCACTACTTGATTCAGTTAGACAAATACTTCAAAGGTGGTTTTATGATAGAAGTAAATCAACATCTTTTCTGAATAGTTTTTTAAGTCCTTAGGCTGATATTGAGATACATAAACAATTGAATGAATCCAAAAGTTTGATGGTAAGTGTTTTTACATTTTATTATTTAATAATGTTTATTTTTCTTTCACAACCTATTTTTATTATTATTATTTTTTTTCTTTTTTCAGGTTGATCCTATAAACAACGTTGAATTTCAAGTAATTCATAAAGCGGATAATTTTTTGGTAAATTTGGGTTCTAAAAGTTGCACTTGTCGTGTTTGGGATTTGGAAGAAATTCCTTGTGCTCATGCACTTGCAGTTATTTGTAGGATTGATTTGAATCATTATTCATATGTGTCTGAGTATTATCTGTCTAGTAGATTGTTATTTACTTATAATGGTTCAATTCGTCCTGTCGGTAACCATTTGGATTGGGGATCTGTAGCAATTGATGTTAATGTATTACCTCCTATCATTAAACGTCCAGCAAGAAGGCCTCAAAAACAAAGGATTCCTTCAATTGGTGAGGTGGAGAAAGCACACAAAATGCAGACGTTGTCAACGTGTTGGACAMAATCGTAGAACTTGTAAATTTGCACCTATTGAACAATGATGTATAYCAAGGATGTATACCAAAACATTGCTTTTATGATTTGAATTTACAATGAAGTAGTTTCTTTGTTACAACACAATGTGTATACCCAATAGAGTTTGCTTATATGATTTTGCTTCTGTAAGTTATAGTTGATGACATAATTTAGAGCATTACATTAGTCTGTATAGCAGAATTATATCAGTTGTAAATCTATATATCAATAATATATCAGTAATATATAAAGTATACATCATACATATATCAGTAGTACAAGGACAAGTAATATCAATATGAACTCAAAAAGTTTAAAGGTTTAAACATCAAAATAAACTCAAAGGTATTCATATCAAAAGAACATTGCCCAAAAAAAAAATGGCATATCATTTAAAACCTTTAAGATATTGTCTTGTAATCTAAACATGAGTGGATTGTCACATTCATAAACACAAAGTAGACTAACAATGTCACTATAAAAGTAGAAGTATGAGTTCCAAAAGTCTAGAAAAGTAGAAGCAAGTTCCAAAAGCACAAGTTTCAAGTTCTTCATCATTGAGTAATCTTCAAGTCAAAGCTTGGGCAATCATGATCAATCTTCGTTCTCGGTGATTGTCGCGTCTTAGGAGATGAATTTTTGCAGCTTTACATTTTTCCATAGACAACACCTTTGGAGTTGGTTTATGCTGTCTTTTGGGACGCACAATATCAACTTTTTCTTCAATGACTTTAGTTTTCATTTTCCTTGTTTAGACCATTGTTTTCATCTGAAAAAAGATTATTTGATATATTAGTATTATTTAAGAAACATATTAGAGGTAATATATTTGAAATAATTTGTAGATATCATATTTATAGCAGAAGTAAATCAGTTCTATATAATATGTCTATCAAATATATATCACATATATATGAGGAATATATTTGTTAATTATTAGTATATCAGAAGGAAATCAATAGTATAGTAGAAGTCAATCAGTTATATATCAGCTATAGTATTAGATATCATAGTTATATCAAACGTAAATCAGTTATATATCATATGTATATCAAACATATATCACATACATATTAGGAGTATATCTGTCAATCATTAGTACATTAGAAGTAAATCAATAGTATATCAGAAGTCAATCAGTTACATATCATATATATATATATATATCAATCATATATCAATAGTATATGTGCAAATTAGTAGTATATTAGAAGTAAATCTGTAGTATATTAGAAGCCAATAATCAATAGTATATCAGAAGTCAATAAGTTTTATATCTGTTATATATAAGTTATATAACAGTAATCAATTGTATATCAAAAGTCCATAAGTTATATATTAGTATATATCAGTTGTATAATAGTAAATCACTATTTTACCTGCTTTGACCATTTGTCGTGGATTTTTTTTTATCGTTTCTCTCTAATTTTCTGTAAATAAAAATCATCGATGAGTTTCAATAAGTGAATAGCACGAGTAAATGATTAATAAAACTAACTATTGTCTCACTATACTTACAATTTCATCTTCATTAGCTTTTTCCTCTACTTTATCTCTTGCTCCTTCTTGTTCTTCTTCCTCACTTGATTCTTTTTCTTCATTCTCATCGTCTTGTTCATTCTTCTAAGAAGCATTCCAAAGATAAGAAAAGTAAATCAATGTAAGAAAAGTAAAGCAATTTAGATTTACCTCTTTTTCTTTTTCTTTCCCTTTCCCATCTTGATCTGCATCCTCTTTCTCATGATTGATTGCATATTTCACAATTTTATCAATATCTACTTCTTTGTCAAGAAGCTTAAGACTTCTCGATGGAGGTACGTTCTTCTGAAGTGATTCTTGGGATTGTTTTTCAATATTTGATTTTGGTGGAAATCTATCATTGATTACTTCTAATATAGAAGTCAACATCCCCGGCATTTGTTTCTGGACACTTCTAATTTCTTGTATTTTCTCCTTCAAAGTCAAGCTTTTACTTGAACCATGTGTTTCTGTTCTTTCTTCCTCCTCAATATTTCTTCCTTCTGCCATGTCATACATATTGTTGGGATCATCATCTTGCACAATGTCTTCTTGCATTATCAAATTTGTGAAGATGTCAATAGATAATTCATCTTTCGTAGGAAGAATTGTAATTATTGAGAATTGCATAATAAGTCAACAAATGTAGTAAATCAATAGAAATAAGAACAAAAAAAAAAGAGAGAGAGATCAACGAAGTAAGAAACATACATCACTTGCAGAGAAAATATTTTCTTGCAGATGGTGCCAATCCGGCTGTGATAGGATATCCCATTTCAACATTCTTGGGATTTGATGTCCATCCTTTTTTGTTGCAATTACAACCTTCGGATCAGAAAGTTTGGGAATTACTTCACACGCCCAACAAATCAGTGCAAGTGGGAAGCCTTGGAAGGTATAATTTGATGATCTATCTTGTGAAGCTTTTTTTATGTATTCAATTGTTAGATCATATACCAACCTACCCCATGGACATTTCGGAAACAACTTTTCACTATCGACAATGTCAACATGCTTCCATTCTACCTTAGTGTGAAGTTGTTTGGCAAACAATAAGCATTCTAAGATATACAAGATAGCAATTTTCACCATTAAATTATCATTTTGAGACCCAATGTGAAAAGCTGCTTGTACATCTCTTCTATCTATTGTCTCTCTAAGTTAAAAAAAGGTGTTCCTAAGCTTATAGGTATTTGTTTCTCCATCTCTAATGATCTCGTCAAGAGTGGGGTATTCATCACAACAATTCAAACTTGTCATCAAACTGAACTCTTTCAATCCAAATCTTGTAAACTTTCCACCAAAGTTGAATACTAATGCATCTTTTGGACTTTTGTCAGATATTCTCTTAATTAGATGCACTAGTAATAGTAGTGGACATCTGCTAACCCTAAATGATAAAATGTGTCCAAAGGGTCATTTTTCAAATATTTGTTTCTGAGTTGGTGAAAGCATTTTTAAGATGTTGTCAATTGTTTCTAGTTTAGAGTACTGTTGTACTTTAACCCCAGAATACTACATTTCAATATCCTGTTAAGGTAAAATATAATATATAAAATATGTTATAAGTATGTCATAAGTATATCAATAGTATATCAGACGTATATCAAACATATATTGCATAGAAACTCACATCAAGTCTGTCAGAATATCATATGGATAGTAATCATTATCATATCAATAATATATTGAACGTATATCAAACATATCAAACATATCATTTTCATATCAATAATATATCAGACGTATATCATATATATATATTGCATAGAAAATCACATAAGGAATATTATATCATAAATTCTTAAAATCAGTAGTATATCACATACCTCACTCTTTTCTTCTTTTTTCTTCTTTTGTTTCTTCGTCTTGGAAGATTCACCCTTCAATACTACTCGTTCTCCTTTTTGAACCATTTTACTTTCTTTCTTGTCCATATAGGTGTAACTTGTACTAAAACATATAAAAAAATGAAAAAACAGAACCAAACTAAAAAAATATAAAGTTTAAACAAAATTAATGGTAATTACTGCTATAGTCACTGCTATGTGAACCATTATAACTGATATATTCAATATAGTCACTGCTATAGTAAATTGAAATCGAAATGGAAGCAAACATATATATCTCTACTTATCCCAAAAATCGAAATGTAAGCATTGTGTGTTAGGAGTTCAGCAAACATCGAAATGGAAACATATATACGTCTACTTAAAGAAATCAAACGGAAACCGAACGATATCAGAACGAACGAACGAAAATCAGACGGAAATTGAAATTTGGTAAACATTGTCGCTCCTTGCTAGTTGGATGAGAATTGAACGAATGAAAATGGTAGTTGGGGATGACATTCTTGACGGAAATCGAACGGAAATCAAACGATATTTGGGCTGGAAATCAGAAGCTCGAAGGTTGGATGAGAATCGAACAAACGAATTGGGGATAACTTTCTTGATGGAAATTGAATGGAAATCGAACGGAAAACAAAGTAAAAATTGAAAAGTTAGGTTTTGTTTTGATAGTTTGATGAAAAAGTGGTGGTGAAGGGTGGATGTCGAATCGACGAAAATGATGGAATTTGAAAAATTAGGTTTTCTTTTGGTTTGGGCTACCATCTTTGGGCTTTTGCATGTTAATATTGGGCTTGCAGGGAATTAGGACTTTTCACAATGTGAGCCTCTGTGAATTGGTAAAAAATTGCTATATTTGAAATTTTAGAATGTGAATGCTATTTTATTAATTTTATGTAATCTTTTTGCCATATTTGCAAGCAGCCCTATAAAATATCTCCAAATATGGGGGAGAGTATTTTAAATGTAAATATTGCAACGTAAAGAAACCTTTGTTTATATTGATGAGTTGTTGATTGAGTTTTGCAAGAAGTACATATGCAAAAGCAATACAATGGCCAATCCAAATAATTTTTGAAATCATCTGAGAGATAAATGTGTTGAAATCACCTGAGAGATGAATGTGTTGAAATCATCTAAAAGATGAAATCATCAAGGGGAATGGGAGGCCCATATGATAGTCACCACAATGGTCATCCAACCTCAAAAGAGTGATCTTATTATTTTTTTACATTACTCGTATTCCAATAAACTAAGATCCAATGTTATTTAATGTAATTGGAACAGTATATATTTAATATACAATGTATATATTTTTGATATACAGTACATGTTTAATATACAATGTATATATTTGATATGGAATATATATTTGATATACAGTGTATATTTTTTATATACAATATATATTCGACATAAAACTGGATAATGTTCCACTAAAAACCTAAATGGTCTATAGTACATGGATAAGGTTGGGTACCTTATCCTGGTAACACTATGGATATGACCCACTTTGTAAAGACATACAAGTGGGGTTGTCTTATACAATGAGTTTGTATAAGACCAGACAGCGAAAGAATTAATCATTGGCTTTAACACCATTAGTCAATAGATTGTTATCTCATTGGATGACTAGGTAACTCGATCTTAATCTTAAGTGAGTTATGGACTCCTACCTATAAGGGATCGTCCTTTGATTTGTATGGGTGAGGGTGGTCTTGGTTGCCGACTCAATAATCCTACTATTTGGGGACGAGACCGAGTTGGAAGCTGAGAACATAACTACGCAAGATGGAATTCACTCATTCCCGACTTTAGGGAAGTAGATGAGTGTTCCCTTACATGCTAACTCCAGGACTTGAACAAGGGGTCCCACCTCTCACTAGCCCAAGATGGACTTCTGGTTATTGGTCGGACCATAACCGGGTTATTCATTAGAGGAGCAATGGTATTTAAGGAGTAAGATGTAACTTAAGAGTAAAACGATAATTTTACCAGCTAGAGTTATGAGAACTCATGAAGGATTGACTTGCCATTAATGGTCGTACATCCTTGGATAGAAAAATATTCTACAGTGAGAAGAATGCAGCTGCGGATCATTAGTGGAGTGACACGTAGTTATCGAATGTTGATTAACTCGGTTAATGAGTTTGACTGATTAATCTCATATCGTTGGAGCTTATGATCAGTAGGTCCATTAAGTCCCCTTGTTTGGTCACAATGGATAAAATGAGGATCAAGATTTTGAGAAAATTTGAAATGTTCAAAATTATATATAAGGGGATGTATACTAATGTATCAATGTATATTATGATACATTATATATATAGTTTATTTTTTAATAAAGATTCAAATTAAACTATAGGTTATCAGAGAAATATTTGAATAGGATTCAAATAATTAATATGAATTGGATTCAAATAATTAATATGAATTGGATTTATATTAAAACTATAGGATATACAAGAGAGATACATTTGAATATGATTCAGCTATATAGTTTTAATTAAATATGTGATATTTAATTAAAAGTTAAATAATTAATTGTTAATTATTTATTTATTTAATTAATATTTAAATTTAAATTAATTAATTATTAATTAGATTATAATTATTTAATAAAATTTATTAAATTAATTAATTATTAATTAGATTAATAATTTAATTAATTAATTAATTTGTCTATTATTAATTAAAAAGAATAAGATATCTTGATGGTCTTGGGATTTCCCCTGGATTTAGAGGAATATATCCTATATCCCTAATTGTCTTAGGATTTTCCCTCTATATAAATATAACATTAAGCTGTACCCTAAAGGAGTAATGAAAAAAAAGGCAAAAAAATCTCTTAACTCTCTTACTCTTTCAATCCCTTGCAATTGGATCCCACAATCCGGATTCTAGACCAAGAGACATATCAAGGAAGATCAAGTGGTGTTGTCTCATTGGGATTACACGAAGAAGAGTCTTCAAAGGTAAAATCCAACACTCTTCCTTGTTTTATATTTTTCTATGTTTTAAATTTCATAAGAAATTCAAGAATGCGTTTTGCTGCTTCAGCTCCGGGATTCACATCCCCTTCAAGTCTTACTTTAAATCTTGTCTCTGTTAGTCAGTTATGTCAATCTTGGTACTTAGTTTCTTTTTCTTCCTCCACTTGTTCCATACAGGATCCGCGAACTCAAAAAGAGATTGGGATGGATCGTAGGCAAGAATGACTATATATTTTGGATCGACTCAAAGTATCAGATGTTGCTACTTCAAGTATGGATTCATCATCTTTTCGCTCGAGTTGTTTATCTTCTCCATTTTATTTATGTCATTCACGTCTGGGTCATGTTTCTGCATCTCGTTTCTTTTTCTTCTACAGGAGCCTTGGGACATTTAAACAACCATGATATTTCTGATTGCAGTGGTTGTAAATTGGCAAAATTACCACCTTACCTTTTCATAAAAGTACTTCAATTTTTCTTGCTCCTTTTGATCTTGTTCATTCTGATGTGTGAGGACCTTCTTTTATACCCACAAAAAGGGGTTTCATATATTATGTTTCTTTTATTGATGATTATACTTGTGTTGCGCCTTTGCTTTATAGCTAGAAGGTAAGTGCAAGTGCACACTGTCACAAGTAATAATCTAGCAGGGACTAGTTTTCTTTTAAAATTGATTTTGTAAATTGCTTGAATGAGCAATCGTGTTTGGGAGAAA